ACACACTGATGCACAAGATACACATGCGTTCACACACACACACACACACACACTGATGCACAAGATACACATGCGTTCACACACACACACACACACACTGATGCACTCGCGCGGGTCTCTGTCCTCGTGTGTGTACCGGACCCGCAGCTCTTAAAGTGACAGTGCTCATATTCCTCCGTCTCTATAATAACTCTAATCACACAACAGAAGACTGAGAACACACACTCGTTCTTCACTGAGTAAGTTCTGTAACTATATCTGTAATGTATATTTTATGTATAAACTGCAGTGTTATTTTACATTTGATTACAGTTTCTGCACCTGAAAATCTTATAACACTGTTTATTTCAATCGTATCTTTGTTCAGTTGTGTCTATTTGTTTCGATTGCTAATTTTTTATTTGTTCTTTTTTAATAACTGGGTGTCTTTAATAAAGCTTGAAGTGTACATTAGTCGGGCTAGTTGTTCTTCTCTGGTGTTTGACCCTCAGGCTAACGCTCCTGTAACAGTTCTTCAGCTGCAGTCACAGTTCTGCAATAACACTAAAGATTAATGATATCCAAGTTTATCTTTTTACCTTATTGGAATCGAAATTAAGAATCGATAAGAATGAACGATAGCCAACCCTACCCCTGACCTGTGACCTCTGACCTCTGACAGGTGGTCATCAACTACTCCATAGTGAAGGGTCTGAAGTATAACCAGGCCACGCCCACCTTCCACCAGTGGCGGGACGCGCGGCAGGTGTACGGCCTGAACTTCGCCAGTAAAGAGGAGGCTAACACCTTCTCCAACGCCATGCTGTTCGCCCTCAACGTGCTGAGCAGCGCAGACGGAGGTACACACGCACACACACACACACACACACACACACACACACACACACACACACACACACTCACAGTAACAGGATCCTCGGGCCTGCTGTGGTCCTCAGGTGTGTGTTACGTGTGTTAGACACCGGACACTGTCAGAGCAGGTTAGAGTCGAGCGCAGGACGGTGATGATCACACACTGGATCTGCCACTGCTTCTGTGTGTGTGTGTGCAACGGCCGCTTCGTCCTCTTCAACATGTCCTGTACGTACAGTGTGTGTGTGTGTGTGTGTGTGTGTGTGTGAGCTCTCTCTCTCTCTACGCTTACTTTGTTCCTGCTGTAGAGCGGTTCAGGCTTCATCGAGGCTGTTTCTGGGTTCATATTTGTCATATTGTTTGCTATGATGTTCTGTGTGGTTGCTAGGTTGATCTATGTGGTTGCTATGATGTTCTGTGTGGTTGCTAGGGTGATCTATGTGGTTGCTAGGGTGTTCTGTGTGGTTGCTAGTGCATTGCTGTGTGGTTGCTAGGGTGTTCTGTGTGGTTGCTAGTGCATTGTTGTGTGGTTGCTAGGGTGTTCTGTGTGGTTGCTAGTTTATTGCTGTGTGGTTGCTAGGGTGTTCTGTGTGGTTGCTAGTGCATTGTTGTGTGGTTGCTAGGGTGTTCTGTGTGGTGGCTAGTGCATTGCTGTGTGGTTTCTAGGCTGTTCTGTGTGGTTGCTAGGGTGTTCTGTGTGGTGGCTAGGGTGTTCTGTGTGGTTGCTAGGGTGTTCTGTGTGGTGGCTAGTGCATTGCTGTGTGGTTGGTAGGGTGTTCTGTGTGGTTGCTAGGGTGTTCTGTGTGGTTGCTAGGGTATTCTGTGTGGTTGCTAGGGTGTTCTGTGTGGTTGCTAGGGTGTTCTGTGTGGTTGTCACCTGTACAGTGCTCTATACACCTCATGTTCCTGAGAAACAAGCGCTCCGCCGTCTGTAGAATACCGTCTTCGAGCTTCTGTTGCTGCGGCCGCTCTGTGTATCTGTCGCTGTCGAAGAGTCGTTAGTAGATCTACTTGTTGTAGAGTTAAGAGAAGTTATCATAAGCATTGTAATGTATTTGGGTTTGACGGAATAGATCTGCTACGCTGCTGTACACATAACACACACAAAATAGTCTATAGTGTGTTATGTGTATGCTAGGCCAAAGAGATGTGTTTTTAGTCTAGCTTTGAACTGACAGAGTGTGTCTGCTTCCCGGACAATGGTAGGAAGACTGTTCCAGAGTTTCGAGACCGCAATAGACGTGAAGGACTATAATGCGTTAAGAGCTCGCTCAAGTACTGGGAGCTAAACCATTTAGTGCTTTGTAAGTAATCAACAATATTTTAAAATGTATACGATGTTTAATAGGGAGCCAATGCAGTGTTGACAGAACCGGGCTAATATGGTCATACTTCCTGGTTCTGGTAAGAACTCGAGCGGCTGCGTTTTGGACCAGCTGGAGTTTGTTTATTAAGCGTGCAGGGCAACCACCCAGTAGAGCATTACAGTAATCTAGCCTTGAGGTCATGAACGCATGAACTAACTGTTCCGCATTCGTCAATGAGAGCATATGGCGTAATTTAGATATATTTGTAAGATGGAAAAATGCGGTTTTACTTTTTTTCAAGGTTTTAGGGCCAATAATTAGAATCTCTGTTTTTTCAGAATTTAGTAGTAGGAAATTACTAGTCATCCAGTTTTTTATATCAGCTATGCATTTCATTAATTTTGTAAAGTGGTAAGTTTCATCAGGCTGTGTGTGTGTGTGTGTGTGTGTGTGTCTGTGTGTCTGTGTGTCTGTGTGTGAGTGTGTGTGAGAGTATGTGTGTGTGTGTGTGTGTCTGTGTCTGTGTGTCTGTGTGTGAGTGTGTGTGAGAGTATGTGTGTGTGTGTGTGTGTCTGTGTCTGTGTGTCTGTGTGTGAGTGTGTGTGAGAGTATGTGTGTGTGTATCTGTGTCTGTGTGTCTGTGTGTGAGTGTGTGTGAGAGTATGTGTGTGTCTGTGTCTGTGTCTGTGTGTCTGTGTGTCTGTGTGTCTGTGTGTCTGTGTGTGAGTGTGTGTGAGAGTATGTGTGTGTGTGTGTGTGTGTGTCTGTGTCTGTGTGTCTGTGTGTGAGTGTGTGTGAGAGTGTGTGTGTGTATGTGTCAGATGGCGTCGGGTTGCAGTGTTTTCTTGAAACACGAGCTTGAGGAATCGTTGTGTTATAGACGTGTTACAATATTTAGCATGTTGATGGAGGATCTGCCCCAGATAGCATGTTTCTGCGGCGAGGGTTATATTCCTGATGACCCACCGCACGTCACACACTCTCGTCACCCGCCGCACGTCACACACTCCCGTCACCCGCCGCACGTCACACACTCTCGTCACCCGCCGCACGCCACACACTCTCGTCACCCGCCGCACGTCACACACTCTCGTCACCCGCCGCACGCCACACACTCTCGTCACCCGCCGCACGTCACACACTCTCGTCACCCGCCGCACGTCACACACTCTCGCCGCACGTCACACACTCTCGTCACCCGCCGCACGTCACCCGCCGCACGTCACACACTCTCGCCGCACGTCACACACTCTCGTCACCCGCCGCACGTCACACACTCTCGTCACCCGCCGCACGTCACACACTCGTCACCCGCCGCACGTCACACACTCTCGTCACCCGCCGCACGTCACACACTCTCGTCACCCGCACACACTCTCGTCACCCGCCGCACGTCACACACTCTCGTCACCCGCCGCACGTCACACACTCGTCACCCGCCGCACGTCACACACTCTCGTCACCCGCCGCACGTCACACACTCGTCACCCGCCGCACGTCACACACTCTCGTCACCCGCCGCACGTCACACACTCTCGTCACCCGCACACACTCTCGTCACCCGCCGCACGTCACACACTCTCGTCACCCGCCGCACGTCACACTCTCGTCACCCGCCGCACGTCACACACTCTCGTCACCCGCCGCACGTCACACACTCGTCACCCGCCGCACGTCACACACTCTCGTCACCCGCCGCACGTCACACACTCTCGTCACCCGCACACACTCTCGTCACCCGCCGCACGTCACACACTCTCGTCACCCGCCGCACGTCACACTCTCGTCACCCGCCGCACGTCACACACTCTCGTCACCCGCCGCACGTCACACACTCGTCACCCGCCGCACGTCACACACTCTCGTCACCCGCCGCACGTCACACACTCTCGTCACCCGCACACACTCTCGTCACCCGCCGCACGTCACACACTCTCGTCACCCGCCGCACGTCACACACTCGTCACCCGCCGCACGTCACACACTCTCGTCACCCGCCGCACGTCACACACTCTCGTCACCCGCACACACTCTCGTCACCCGCCGCACGTCACACACTCTCGTCACCCGCACACACTCCCGTCACCCGCCGCACGTCACACACTCCCGTCACCCGCCGCACGTCACACACTCTCGTCACCCGCCGCACGTCACACACTCTCGTCACCCGCCGCACGTCACACACTCCCGTCACCCGCCGCACGTCACACACTCCCGTCACCCGCCGCACGTCACACACTCTCGTCACCCGCCGCACGTCACACACTCCCGTCACCCGCCGCACGTCACACACTCTCGTCACCCGCCGCACGTCACACACTCTCGTCACCCGCCGCACGTCACACACTCCCGTCACCCGCCGCACGTCACACACTCCCGTCACCCGCCGCACGTCACACACTCCCGTCACCCGCCGCACGTCACACACTCTCGTCACCCGCCGCACGTCACACACTCCCGTCACCCGCCGCACGTCACACACTCCCGTCACCCGCCGCACGTCACACACTCTCGTCACCCGCCGCACGTCACACACTCCCGTCACCCGCCGCACGTCACACACTCTCGTCACCCGCCGCACGTCACACACTCCCGTCACCCGCCGCACGTCACACACTCCCGTCACCCGCCGCACGTCACACACTCTCGTCACCCGCCGCACGTCACACACTCTCGTCACCCGCCGCACGTCACACACTCTCGTCACCCGCCGCACGTCACACACTCTCGTCACCCGCCGCACGTCACACACTCCCGTCACCCGCCGCACGTCACACACTCCCGTCACCCGCCGCACGTCACACACTCCCGTCACCCGCCGCACGTCACACACTCTCGTCACCCGCCGCACGTCACACTCTCGTCACCCGCCGCACGTCACACACTCTCGTCACCCGCCGCACGTCACACACTCTCGTCACCCGCCGCACGTCACACTCTCGTCACCCGCCGCACGTCACACACTCCCGTCACCCGCCGCACGTCACACACTCCCGTCACCCGCCGCACGTCACACACTCCCGTCACCCGCCGCACGTCACACACTCTCGTCACCCGCCGCACGTCACACACTCTCGTCACCCGCCGCACGTCACACTCTCGTCACCCGCCGCACGTCACACACTCGTCACCCGCCGCACGTCACACACCCTCGTCATCAGATGTGCTCCTGTAAAGGTGTGTTTAGCTGTCGTGTGTTTATAGGTGTAAGCGCTTCAGTCGTGATGAGCTTCATCTGTCCTCAGCTCGGGACTCTTCATCTCCAGCATGATCGATCTGAACTGAGATAAACATTCTGCCGACGGGATTAAGTTTGTTTTTCGGACCCCGTTTGCAGATATCTGTTCCTGTTTACGCTCAAACTCGCTGCACTGACGCCGCTATGTTCCTGACGCTTGTGTGTCTCTTTCAGGTCCAGCTGTTCAGCGGCAGCTCCAGAACGGCCCGAACACAGAGGAGCTCGAGGTGCAGAGACGGTAGGATTCAATGCACCATATTCACGTACACTGCAATATATTACAGCTTTACGGATAGTTCCTTTCATGTAGAGTGTAATAAAGCTGTTTGTGAATGTAAAAGTTTCACAGATCAAAGATAAATGTCAAAAAAGTTTTTGTCTCCTAAAGGAAAGACGTGATTCTAAACTAAAACGAGTAATTCATGAACCTGTGTAGGTTTGTAACTAATTTGCATAATGCGGTCTTGATTGGCTGAGCAGCGTCTCTTAGCTCCGCCCTCAAACACTCTAGTGTATCTGAGACTGGAAGAGTTCGGCTCGTGTTGTTCGTGTCGAGGAGACGCTGTTTTCTGAGATTGATACGGTGAAACCCACGCCATCGTTACTGTTCGTATCCCTGTGATCAAGAGCTGAGATTCAGATATGATAATGAGCGTTTGCTTTCTAGCCAATCAGAGCAGAGCAGCTCTCAGAGAGGCGGGGTTTAGAGAGAGCGAATCCTTGATGGAAGCGTGAAAGAAAGAGCTGAAGCTGCAGTGGAGATTATGAGGGAATAAAGTGTGTTTGACCTTTACATGCATGAGAACCTGCTGTAAGAGCCTCTAAAACAGCATTACAGGGCACTATAAATGTGATATGATGAAGCGCACGCACACAGGCGCCCTCTGGTGGTCAGCGGATGCATTATCATGATGCTGTGTCAGCTCTTCCACCGTCCCATCATGCATCTGAGTCGCTCCACATCTCTGTGTATTGAGCAGATCTGTGTCATACGCTTCCAGATCTGATCGATCTTCATCTGATATCTGATGCTGTCAGGCTCATTATTCGATCAGAAATGTTCCTGACCCATTCTACTGATGCATTATGGGTCCCTCGAGTCAATGTCTTCTTATTATAATGAATACATGATTATGCGATTATAAATGCTGTTTTTTTTTACTTTCTATTCATCAAAGAATCCTGAACAATAAAATGTATCACAGTTTCCACAGAAATATGACTGTTTTCTACACTGTTAATAATCATAAATGTGTCTTGAGCATCAGATCCTCATATTAGAGTGATTTCTGAAGGATCATGTGACACTGAAGACTGGAGTAATGATGCTGAAAATACAGCTTTGATCACAGGAATAAATTACACTTTACTGTATATTCACATAGAAAATAACTAATTTAAATTGTAATATTTCACAATATTACTGTGTTTTGATCATATAAATGCAGCTTTGATGAGCAGAAGAGACTCTTTCAATAACATTAAAAAATCTTAATTAATCCAAACTTTTGCCATATAGTGTAAATATGACACAATGCATTTTATCATGATTTCTCTTGATAGCATAATTCAAATCCTACATGAAACCTGACAGTTTCGCAGTGTGTGTGCAGTGCATGGTGGGAAGGTTCAGTGTGTTTCTGTGTCTGCAGGCAAATGGAAATGCAGGCGCATATCGAGCGGGAGAGACGATCGTCCAACTCAGGTAGGAGATCCTGGAGCGACAGCGCTGATCGAGGACGCTCGCACTGTCAGGGCTGGGGGAAAGAAATGCATTACAATATACTTTTTAAGAAAAGTACTGCGTTATGTTACTTTTGCGTTACTTTTTCTCGCCTGGGCTAGGCTTGTTTTTTTTTATAACAAAAAAGTTCTATTTTTGGGCAAATGTAAAGGTCGTTTCAGACCAAAATTTAAATAAAAAGGCTGAGGGAAATGCAGATTCACTCCTGTACAGACTGTTCACTGCTGTTCTGGATAACAGAAGAATAAGGAGAAGAATTTTTAACACTTCACAAATAAAAACAAAAAATCTAGTCATTTCTGCTTATGGTTAAACTGAATCATCCAAGGTCAGAAGCAAGAACATTGGTCAATAAAGTGAGATTAAATGCATACAAATATTTGTTTTATTTAACATTTAATTATTGGAGGTTTGCGTATTATTCTGATTTTGCATTTCACTGATTTTATTAATTTTGAGGAATACTGAATCTTTTTTGTGCAAGTGAGACGAGTAAATGCACACATTTAGTCTAGAACGACAATAACCATCATATCTACCCACAACGCCTCTGCACTTACTCACAATTTCTCTCAGCATGAGGACAGGAGAGCTGTCGGTCATTAAATGTAATAAAAAGTAACTTGCGTTACTTATTTGAAAATGTAACTCGGATATTTTGCTGTAAATTTATAAGTAATGCGTTACTTTACTAGTTACTTGAAAAAAGTAATCTGATTACATAACTCAAGTTACTCGTTCCTGTGTTATTTCCCCAGGTTCCCCGTTTCAGGGTCACGCGGTGCTGTCTGTAGCTCCGCCCATTGCCACGCCCCCTCCGCTGCTGATGGGTGGCCCCTGCCCGCCTCCCCCCCCGCCCGGGCCCCCGCCCCCCTCCGCCGGGGCTCCGCCCCCTCCCCCGCCCCCTTTGCCCGTGTGTGGGTACGGGGGCCCCGGGGCCGCGCAGGACGATGGTCAGGGCCCCACAGGACTCGCCGCCATGATCGCCGGAGCCAAACTGCGCCGCGTCAATCGGGTCTGTCAGAAACTCACTCACAACAACAACTGCTAAACATATAACATGATCATATTCAGCTTCTTTATCAGCATCGAGGGTTCCATGAAGAACCTTTAACATCCGGGGAATTTTAAAAGATTCTTTATATTAAGAAATGCTCTAAAACATGCTTCTTTTAATAAGGTTATGTAGGTTTTTACGTGATAAATAACTCAACCTCTGAGTTGTTACGTCTGACCCAAGCATTGACCCAGGATCTGGGTAACATAAGAACTACCCAAACACTGGGTTGTTACATCTGACCCAGGATCTGAGTAACACAAAAACTACACAAACACTGACCCAGGATCTGGGTAACATAAGAACTACCCAAACACTAGGTTGTTACATCTGACCCAGGATCTGTGTAACACAAAAACTACTCCAACTTTGACCCAGGATCTGGGTAACATAAGAACTACCCAAACACTAGGTTGTTACATCTGACCAGGATCTGTGTAACACAAAAACTACTCAAACTTTGACCCAGGATCTGGGTAACATAAGAACTACCCAAACACTGGGTTGTTAAGTCTGACCCAGGATCTGGGTAACACAAAAATACCCAAACATTGACCCAGGATCTGGGTAACATTTCTTATGAACTTAAAAAGTACCCAAACACTAGGTTGTAACATCTGACCCAGGATCTGGGTAACACAAAAACTACCCAAACTCTGACCCAGGATCTGGGTAACATAAGAACTACCCAAACACTGGGTTATTACATCTGACCCAGGATCTGGGTAACACAAAAACTACCCAAACACTGGGTTGTTACATCTTACCCAAGACCTGGGTAACACAAAAAACTACCCAAACACTGGGTTGTTACATCTGACCCAGGATCTGACTTACACAAAAACTACCCAAACACTGACCCAGGATCTGGGTAACATAAGAACTACCCAAACACTGACCCAGGATCTGGGTAACATAAGAACTACCCAAACACTGGGTTGTTACATCTGACCCAGGATCTGGGTAACACAAAAACTACCCAAACACTGACCCAGGATCTGGGTAACATAAGAACTACCCAAACACTGACCCAGGATCTGGGTAACATAAGAACTACCCAAACACTGACCCAGGATCTGGGTAACATAATAACTACCCAAACACTGGGTTGTTACATCTGACCCAGGAGCTTGGTAACACAAAACTACTCAAACACTGAAAAAATAACCCAAAAAAGTTTACCCAAAAGGCTTAACCCAGGTATTGGGTAGAAAAAATAGAGTGTAGAGTATAGAACCAGAACTCCAAAAACACATCCCACATTTTGCATGAAAAATCTACATATAAAATCCCTAAAGAAGGAAGTGATTGAGCTGAGAGCGCCGTGTGTCCTCAGCCCGAGGAGAACTCCTCTTCCGGAGCCAAAAGCGAAGCCAACCGGACGAGTGGCGGGAGCGGAGGCCTGATGGAGGAGATGAACGCGCTGCTCGCACGCAGGTGAGGACACACACACGAACACACACCAGAGATCATGACGGACAGCTCACTGCTGAGAAGCTCCGCCCACTCTCACGTCTCATCGGCACTGTGTGTATATAGACATCAGATATAAACACACACACACCCTCTGTTTATTTCCCATGACAGACGGAAAGCAGCGGATGAGAAGAAAGATGGAGACAGCCAAACCGTGAGTAAACCATTAGTCATATTCAAATATATGAATCTTAAATGCAGGCTTTTGTTGCGTGTTGTTGGATGATGGAAGTATTAATATTGCACATGGCGGGGTTGTGCTGTTGTTGTCCGTGTTATTGCCTTGAATGATTCTGATGTGTTTCAGGACGATCTGAACTCTCGTGGGCAGAACGCTTCAGGTAAACGACATGACCTCATCATAAACCGCATTTACACTGCAGATCTCTTCTTTAACAGTGACCCGTGTCCGATATCGGCACTTACACACACTTACACTCGAGGAAACACCCCAAGGTGGACGCAGACGAATGATAATACTAACTTTTGCTCTCTGTACCGGCCAACAAAACACTGGTGTGTGTACCTCTGGTGTTCTCGGACAGGTTTGACCACACATGGGAATGATATATAACTTAGCACAAGGTTTTGGCTCTTGCTGTGTGAACACACACATAAATCATGGGCATGATCTGAACAGGTTTAATGGTGCTGTGAACAATAGTCCCACTTGTGCTCCTCGCGGTCAGAAATGCCGCATTGGAAATGAATGGAGAGTTTCCTCTAGTGGAAGCGTTTGGAACTGCAGCCGAACACACTCTCCCTGAACGCTGCTTTACTGAGAGATCAGCTCACATGCGGAACACACACTTGCTCAGCTTTATGGCTTTGGTTGTCTTGCAGTTTTAGAGTAAAACGTGATTTAGAAAATATATATTTCATATAAAAATTGAAAATAGTATTTTTTGCGTTTTACACAAAAATAAATGTAAAAATGTAAAAACTTTTTTTAACTTTCCCTTCAGCAATAATCTGCCAAGCTTTACTATGTATGGTGTGTGTGTGTGTGTGTGTGTGTGTGTGTGTGTGTGTGTGTGTGTGTGTGTGTGTGTGTGTGTGTGTGTGTGTGTGCAGATGGAGTGAAGAAGCCGTGGGACCGAGCGAACTCTGCCGAGCGATCGTCGCTGGTGTCCAGGTGAGAGCAGGAACACACACGCTTTACCGTCACACACACTGTATGCGCTGGGGTCATGTGACGCGTTTGCATCCGCAGGGTTCGTCCCGTGGGGAGCATCGGAGACTCCGACGCCTTAGACTTCGACAGGATGAAACAGGTACAGATCAGTACTCACACACACACACACACACACACACACGTGTTCTCTTCTGCGCTCATACTCACACACACACACACACACACACACGTGTTCTCTTCTGCGCTCATACTCACACACACACACACACACACACACACGTGTTCTCTTCTGCGCTCATACTCACACACACACACACGTGTTCTCTTCTGCGCTCATACTCACACACACACACACGTGTTCTCTTCTGCGCTCATACTCACACACACACACACACACACACACACACACACACACACACACACGTGTTCTCTTCTGCGCTCATACTCACACACACACACACGTGTTCTCTTCTGCGCTCATACTCACACACACACACACACACGTGTTCTCTTCTGCGCTCATACTCACACACACACACACACACACACACGTGTTCTCTTCTGCGCTCATACTCACACACACACACACACACACACACACGTGTTCTCTTCTGCGCTCATACTCACACACACACACACGTGTTCTCTTCTGCGCTCATACTCACACACACACACACGTGTTCTCTTCTGCGCTCATTCTCACACACACACACACACACGTGTTCTCTTCTGCGCTCATACTCACACACACACACACACACACACACACGTGTTCTCTTCTGCGCTCATACTCACACACACACACACACACACACACACACACACGTGTTCTCTTCTGCGCTCATACTCACACACACACACACACACACACACACGTGTTCTCTTCTGCGCTCATACTCACACACACACACACACACGTGTTCTCTTCTGCGCTCATACTCACACACACACACACGTGTTCTCTTCTGCGCTCATACTCACACACACACACACACACACACACACGTGTTCTCTTCTGCGCTCATACTCACACACACACACACGTGTTCTCTTCTGCGCTCATACTCACACACACACACGTGTTCTCTTCTGCGCTCATACTCACACACACACACACACACACACACACACACACGTGTTCTCTTCTGCGCTCATACTCACACACACACACACACACGTGTTCTCTTCTGCGCTCATACTCACACACACACACACACACACACACGTGTTCTCTTCTACGCTCATACTCACACACACACACACACACACACACGTGTTCTCTTCTGCGCTCATACTCACACACACACACACACACAAACACGTGTTCTCTTCTGCGCTCATACTCACACACACACACACACACACACACGTGTTCTCTTCTACGCTCATACTCACACACACACACACACACACACACACACACACACGTGTTCTCTTCTGCGCTCATACTCACACACACACACACGTGTTCTCTTCTGCGCTCATACTCACACACACACACACACACACACACGTGTTCTCTTCTACGCTCATACTCACACACACACACACACACACACACACACGTGTTCTCTTCTGCGCTCATACTCACACACACACACACGTGTTCTCTTCTGCGCTCGTACTCACACACACACACGTGTTCTCTTCTGCGCTCATACTCACACACACACACACACACACACACGTGTTCTCTTCTACGCTCATACTCACACACACACACACACACACACACACACGTGTTCTCTTCTGCGCTCATACTCACACACACACACACGTGTTCTCTTCTGCGCTCATACTCACACACACACACACGTGTTCTCTTCTGCGCTCATACTCACACACACACACACGTGTTCTCTTCTGCGCTCGTACTCACACACACACACACACACACACACGTGTTCTCTTCTGCGCTCATACTCACACACACACACACACACACACACGTGTTCTCTTCTGCGCTCATACTCACACACACACACACGTGTTCTCTTCTGCGCTCATACTCACACACACACACACGTGTTCTCTTCTGCGCTCATACTCACACACACACACACACACACACACACACACACACACACACACGTGTTCTCTTCTGCGCTCATACTCACACACACACACCCACACACACACACACACACGTGTTCTCTTCTGCGCTCATTCTCACACACACACACACGTGTTCTCTTCTGCGCTCATACTCACACACACACACACACACACACACACACACACACACACACACACACACACACACGTGTTCTCTTCTGCGCTCGTACTCACACACACACACACACACGTGTTCTCTTCTGCGCTCGTACTCACACACACACACACACACGTGTTCTCTTCTGCGCTCGTACTCACACACACACACGTGTTCTCTTCGACAGGAGATCCTGGAGGAGGTCGTCCGGGAACTGCACAAGGTGAAGGATGAGATCATTGATGGTACGTGGATTGAGTTCTTGTGGGTTTTATGTGGCGTATTCAGGGTTTGAAATGAACTTTTTATATATTATAAAATTTGGATTTCATACATTCATTTCTTATTCAAACAAAATCCTGTCATCCTCCCTCTTTCATCCTTTAACCAAAAATGTGTTTTAGGTGGAGAGATCAATACAAAAAATTGTTTAAAAAAAGTAGGATGTTGGAAAATAACAACGAATAACCAAATGATTTTTAATCTTCACTATTGCTTCAATGCAACTGACCAAGAGCATCGTTACTTGTAGCGTAGTGACGTGTGTGTTCAAGTAAGCCAGATATGAGCAGATTCTGCGCAAAACGCTGTATTTAATATATCATGATGACTCGCGAGTTTAAATTTGCGCTAAATCTGCGCAATATGCTGTATTTAATATCATGATGACTCGCGAGTTTAAATTTGCGCTAAATCTGCGCAAAACGCTGTATTTAATATATCATGATGACTCAAGAGTTTTAAATTTGCACTAAATCTGCGTAATACGCTGTATTTAATATATCATGATGACTCGCGAGTTTAAATTTGCAGTAAATCGGCGTAATACGCTGTATTTAATATATCATGATGACTCGCGAGTTTAAATTTGCAGTAAATCTGCGTAATACGCTGTATTTAATATATCATGATGACTCGCGAGTTTAAATTTGCACTAAATCTGCGTAATACGCTGTATTTAATATATCATGATGACTCGCGAGTTTAAATTTGTGCTAAATCTGCGTAATACGCTGTATTTAATATATCATGATGACTTGCGAGTTTAAATTTGTGCTAAATCTGCGTAATACGCTGTATTTATTATATCATGATGACTCGCGCACTAAATCTGCGTAATACGCTGTATTTAATATATCATGATGACTCGCGAGTTTAAATTTGTGCTAAATCTGCGTAATACGCTGTATTTAATATATCATGATGACTCGCGAGTTTAAATTTGTGCTAAATCTGCGTAATACGCTGTATTTATTATATCATGATGACTCGCGAATTTAAATTTGTGCTAAATCTGCGTAATACGCTGTATTTAATATATCATGATGACTCGCGAGTTTAAATTTGCAGTAAATCTGCGTAATACGCTGTATTTAATATATCATGATGACTCGCGAGTTTAAATTTGCACTAAATCTGCGTAATACGCTGTATTTAATATATCATGATGACTCGCGAGTTTAAATTTGCACTAAATCTGCGTAATACGCTGTATTTAATATATCATGATGACTCGCGAGTTTAAATTTGCGCTAAATCTGCGTAATACGCTGTATTTAATATATCATGATGACTCGCGAGTTTAAATTTGTGCTAAATCTGCGTAATACGCTGTATTTAATATATCATGATGACTCGCGAGTTGAGTATTTGCGCTAAATCTGCGCAATATTCTGTATTTAATATATCATGATGACTCGCGAGTTTAAATATGCGCTAAATCTGCGTAATACGCTGTATTTAATTTATCATGATGACTCGCAAGTTTAAATTTGTGCTAAATCTGTGTAATACGCTGTATTTAATATATCATGATGACTCGCGAGTTTAAATTTGTGCTAAATCTGCGTAATACGCTGTATTTAATATATCATGATGACTCGTGAGTTTAAATTTGCACTAAATCTGCGTAATACGCTGTATTTAATATATCATGATGACTCGCGAGTTTAAATTTGCGCTAAATCTGCGCAATATGCTGTATTTAATATATCATGATGACTCGCGAGTTTTAAATTTGTGCTAAATCTGCGCAAAACGCTGTATTTAATATATCATGATGACTCGCGAGTTTAAATTTGCGCTAAATCTGCGCAATATGCTGTATTTAATATCATGATGACTCGCGAGTTTAAATTTGCGCTAAATCTGCGCAATATGCTGTATTTAATATATCATGATGACTCGCGAGTTTTAAATTTGTGCTAAATCTGCGCAAAACGCTGTATTTAATATATCATGATGACTCGCGAGTTTAAATTTGCGCTAAATCTGCGCAATATGCTGTATTTAATATCATGATGACTCGCGAGTTTAAATTTGCGCTAAATCTGCGCAATATGCTGTATTTAATATATCATGATGACTCACGAGTTTTAAATTTGTGCTAAATCTGCGCAAAACGCTGTATTTAATATATCATGATGACTCGCGAGTTTAAATTTGCACTAAATCTGCGTAATACGCTGTATTTAATATATCATGATGACTCGCGAGTTTAAATTTGCACTAAATCTGCGTAATACGCTGTATTTAATATATCATGATGACTCGCGAGTTTAAATTTGCAGTAAATCTGCGTAATACGCTGTATTTAATATATCATGATGACTCGCGAGTTTAAATTTGCACTAAATCTGCGTAATACGCTGTATTTAATATATCATGATGACTCGCGAGTTTAAATTTGCGCTAAATCTGCGTAATACGCTGTATTTAATATATCATGATGACTCGCGAGTTTAAATTTGTGCTAAATCTGCGTAATACGCTGTATTTAATATATCATGATGACTCGCGAGTTTAAATTTGCACTAAATCTGCGTAATACGCTGTATTTAATATATCATGATGACTCGCGAGTTTAAATTTGTGCTAAATCTGCGTAATACGCTGTATTTAATATATCATGATGACTCGCGAGTTTAAATTTGTGCTAAATCTGTGTAATACGCTGTATTTAATATATCATGATGACTCGCGAGTTTAAATTTGTGCTAAATCTGCGTAATACGCTGTATTTAATATATCATGATGACTCGCGAGTTGAGTATTTGTGCTAAATCTGCGCAAAACGCTGTATTCAAAATATCATGATGACTCGCGAGTTGAGTATTTGCGCTAAATCTGCGTAATACGCTGTATTTAATATATCATGATGACTCGCGAGTTGAGTATTTGCGCTAAATCTGCGCAATATTCTGTATTTAATATATCATGATGACTCGCGAGTTTAAATATGCGCTAAATCTGCGTAATACGCTGTATTTAATTTATCCTGATGACTCGCGAGTTTAAATTTGTGCTAAATCTGCGTAATACGCTGTATTTAATATATCATGATGACTCGGGAGTTTAAATTTGTGCTAAATCTGCGTAATACGCTGCATTTAATATATCATGATGACTCGCGAGTTTAAATTTGTGCTAAATCTGCGTAATACGCTGTATTTAATATATCATGATGACTCGCGAGTTTAAATTTGCGCTAAATCTGCGTAATATGCTGTATTTAATATATCATGATGACTCGCGAGTTTAAATTTGTGCTAAATCTGCGTAATACACTGTATTTAATATATCATGATGACTCGCGAGATTAAATTTGTGCTAAATCTGCGCAAAACGCTGTATTTAATATATCATGATGACTCGCGAGTTTAAATTTGTGCTAAATCTGCGTAATACGCTGTATTTAATATATCATGATGACTCGCGAGCTTAAATTTGCGCTAAATCTGCGTAATACGCTGTATTTAATATATCATGATGACTCGCGAGTTTAAATTTGTGCTAAATCTGGTAATACGCTGTATTTAATATATCATGATGACTCGCGAGTTTAAATTTGCGCTAAATCTGCGCAAAACGCTGTATTTAATATATCATGATGACTCGCGAGTTTAAATTTGTGCTAAATCTTCTAATACGCTGTATTTAATATATCATGATGACTCGCGAGTTTAAATTTGCGCTAAATCTGCGTAATACGCTGTATTTAATATATCATGATGACTCGCGAGTTTAAATTTTTGCTAAATCTGCGTAATACGCTGTATTTATTATATCATGATGACTCGCGAGTTTAAATTTGTGCTAAATCTGCGTAATACGCTGTATTTAATATATCATGATGACTCGCGAGCTTAAATTTGAGGTAAATCTGCGTAATACGCTGTATTTAATATATCATGATGACTCGCAAGTTTAAATTTGCGCTAAATCTGCGTAATACGCTGTATTTAATATATCATGATGACTCGCGAGTTTAAATTTGCGCTAAATCTGCGCAAAACGCTGTATTTAATATATCATGATGACTCGCGAGTTAAAATTTGTGCTAAATCTGCGTAATACGCTGTATTTAATACATCATGATGACTCGCGAGTTTAAATTTGCGCTAAATCTGCGTAATACGCTGTATTTAATATATCATGATGACTCGCGAGTTTAAATTTGTGCTAAATCTGCGTAATACGCTGTATTTATTATATCATGATGACTCGCGAATTTAAATTTGTGCTAAATCTGCGTAATACGCTGTATTTAATATATCATGATGACTCGCGAGTTTAAATTTGTGCTAAATCTGCGTAATACGCTGTATTTAATATATCATGATGACTCGCGAGTTTAAATTTGCGCTAAATCTGCGCAAAACGCTGTATTTAATATATCATGATGACTCGCAAGATTAAATGTATGCTAAATCTGCGTAATACGCTGTATTTAATATATCATGATGACTCGCGAGATTAAATTTGTGCTAAATCTGCAAAATACGCTGTATTTAATATATCATGATGACTTGGGAGTTTAAATTTGTGCTAAATCTTCCCAATACGCTGTATTCAATATATCATGACTCGCGAGTTGAGTATTTGCGCTAAATCTGCGCAATACAATGTGTTTAATATATCTTGATGACTCGCGAGTTTAAATTTGTGCTAAATCTGCGCAATACGCTGTATTCAATATATCATGACTCGCGAGTTGAGTATTTGCGCTAAATCTGCGCAATACGCTGTATTTAATATATCTTGATGACTCGCGAGTTTAAATTTGTGCTAAATCTGCGCAATACGCTGTATTTAATATATCATGATGACTCGCGAGTTTAAATTTGCGCTAAATCTGCGTAATACGCTCTATTTAATATATCTTGATGATTGGCGAGTTTAAATTTGTGCTAAATCTGCGCAATACGCTGTATTTAATATATCATGATGACTCGCGAGTTTAAATTTGTGCTAAATCTGCGTAATACGCTGTATTTAATATATCATGATGACTCGCGTTTAAATTTGCGCTAAATCTGCACAAAACGCTGTATTTAATATATCATGATGACTCGCGAGATTAAATGTATGCTAAATCTGCGTAATACGCTGTATTTAATATATCATGATGACTCGCGAGATTAAATTTGTGCTAAATCTTCGTAATACGCTGTATTTAATATATCATGATGACTTGCGAGTTTACATTTGTGCTAAATCTTCCCAAAACGCTGTATTCAATATATCATGACTCGCGAGTTGAGTATTTGCGCTAAATCTGCGCAATACAATGTATTTAATATATATTGATGACTCGCGAGTTTAAATTTGTGCTAAATTTGCGCAATACGCTGTATTCAATATATCATGACTCACGAGTTGAGTATTTGCGCTAAATCTGCGCAATACGCTGTATTTAATATATATCTTGATGACTCGCGAGTTTAAATTTGTGCTAAATCTGCGCAATACGCTGTATTTAATATATCATGATGACTCGCGAGTTTAAATTTGCACTAAATCTGCGTAATACGCTGTATTTAATATATCTTGATGACTCGCGAGTTTAAATTTGTGCTAAATCTGCGCAATACGCTGTATTTAATATATCATGATGACTTGCGAGTTTAAATTTGCGCAAAATCTGCGTAATACGCTGTATTTAATATATCATGATGACTCACGAGTTTAAATTTGCGCTAAATCTGCGCAAAACGCTGTATTTAATATATCATGATGACTCGCGAGTTTAAATTTGCGCAAAATCTACGTAATACGTTGTATTTATTAAAATCATGATGACTCGCGAGATTAAATTTGTGCTAAATCTGCGCAAAACGCTGTATTTAATATATCATGATGACTCACGAGTTTAAATTTGCGCTAAATCTGCGCAAAACGCTGTATTTAATATATCATGATGACTCACGAGTTTAAATTTGTGCTAAATCAGCGCAAAACGCTGTATTTAATATATCATGATGACTCACGAGTTTAAATTTGCGCTAAATTTGCGCAAAACGCTGTATTTAATATATCATGATGACTCGCGAGTTTAAATTTGCGCTAAATTTGCGCAAAACGCTGTATTTAATATATCATGATGACTCACGAGTTTAAATTTGCGCTAAATTTGCGCAAAACGCTGTATTTAATATATCATGATGACTCACGAGTTTAAATTTGCGCTAAATCTGCGTAATACGCTGTATTTAATATATCATGATGACCACAGTTGATTTACCCGCCTTTGGCGTGTTCATTTCAAACCCTGAGCGTATCGCTGGGAAACTGACGGCGTTTGCTCTTGTTTTTCAGCCATTAGACATGAACTCAGTAGAATCAGCACGACATAATGTCCATGTTTCCCGAGAGCCAAACCCACTGTAGCCGAGGAAGAGGAAGAGAAAGAAGAAGAAGAAGAGGAGAACGTTACGCCGTATTAAAGCCCACAGACGCTAATGCTAACGCGGCGCTAACGCGGCGAAGGACACTGCACTGACTTACTGTTCTCTGGAAGAAACTGAAGAAACTACACAAGTGTTTTTATGAGGTGTTGTTCTGTTCATTTTCTCTGCATTATTATTATTTTTTTATTATTATAGCTGTAGTAGTAGTGTTTTCATGTACACTGCCGTTCAACATTTCTAATGTTTTTTAAAGAAGTCTCTTCTGCTCACCAAAGCTGCATTTATTTGATTAAAAATACACAAAAAACAGTAATATTGTGAAATAGTATTACAATTAAATATAACTGTTTTCTATGTGAATATACAGTAAAGTGTAATTTATTCCTGTGATCAAAGCTGAATTTTCAGCATCATTACTCCAGTCTTCAGTGTCACATGATCCTTCAGAAATCACTCTAATATGAGGATCTGATGCTCAAGAAACATTTATGATTATTAACAGTGTTGAAAACAGTTATTTACATTTTTATTTCAGGATTCTTTGATTAATAGAAAGTTCAAAAGAACAGCATTTATCTGAAATATAATCTTTTGTAACTTTATAAATGTCTTTACTGTCACTTTTGATCAATTTAATTCATCCTTGATGAGTAAAAGTATTAATTTCTTATATTTATTTCCCCCAAAAGCAATTCTTACTGACCCCAAACTGTTGACCGGTAGTGTTTAATGTTACAAAAGCTTCTGTTTCAGATAAATGCTGTTCTTAAACTTTCTATTCATCAAAGAATCCTGAAACAAAAATGTATATGACTGTTTTTCAACATTGATAATAATCATAAATGTATCTTGAGCATCAGATCCTCATATTAGAGTGATTTCTGAAGGATCATGTGACACTGAAGACTGGAGTAATGATGCTGAAAATTCAGCTTTGATCACAGGAATAAATTACACTTTACTGTATATTCACATAGAGAACAGCTTATTTACATTATAATCATATTTCACAATATTACTGTTGTTGTTGTTGTATTTTTGATCAAATAAATGCAGCTTTGGTGAGCAGAAGAGACTTCTTTTAAAAACATTAAAAATCTCACTTTTGACTGGTAGTGTAGGTAGACGTAGGAATGAATAATAATAATAAAAATGATAATAATAATAATTGCACATCACTTTTAGTATTTTTTATTGCTCTTAATTTTTTTCCTTTGCTTTTTAAAAAAGATTCTCAATTTCTCGTTACCTCTCAGTACATTTTTTTAAAAAGTTTTTTTTTTATCTTTTTTGCCATAGAAATATGTATTTACTCACCGAATGAGAGTTTTTGTCGGATCTCAACCTTTATTATTTCCGTCTGATGAAGAAACGCCGGAGTATTTGTGATCATGTTGTTAATAAAATGTTTATTGGCTGCAAGGATATGGTGAAGTATTGTTCCGTTTTATGATTTCTCTTTTTGACCAAGTGCTTCCTGGTTTTGAAAAAAAAGAAGAAGAAAAAAGAAGAAATAAATAAAAGATATATGTGACATTTGAAAAGAACTGAAATAAAACTGTGACGGATGTGTTGGATGAAGTGTGAGTGTTTCTTTAAGATCTTCTGACCTTCAAATAAAACAGAAACCATATTCATAAATGACAGAAATACACGTTTCTGCTGGCATTTGATTTTATGTTTAAACCCACAACATTTGAAAATATTAACTAAATCAAATATATGATCTATATATAAAACTACATTTGAATATTTATGAAAATATTGTTATTTTTTGGTATAAAAATTCACATTTTATATTCAACTATTTAATTAACACTAATACACAGTGAAAATCTGGATTTTAAAATAATAATAATAATACAATAAGAGTTTCTGGTGACATTTATTTTCAGTTTAGAAATTATTAATATTGAAAATTAAATCAAATCAAAATCATATTCAAACAACTCGATTTGATTTACATATTAATATACAGTGAAAATCTGGATGATTATAATTTTACATGATAATATATCTAAATCTGCGCAAAACGCTGTATTTAATATATCATGTTGACTCGCGAGTTTAAATTTGTGCTAAATCTGCGTAATACGCTGTATTTATTATATATTGATGACTCGCGAGCTTAAATTTGCGCTAAATCTGCGTAATACGCTGTATTTAATATATCATGATGACTCGCGAGTTTAAATTTGTGCTAAATCTGGTAATACGCTGTATTTAATATATCATGATGACTCGCGAGTTTAAATTTGCGCTAAATCTGCGCAAAACGCTGTATTTAATATATCATGATGACTCGCGAGTTTAAATTTGTGCTAAATCTTCTAATACGCTGTATTTAATATATCATGATGACTCGCGAGTTTAAATTTGCGCTAAATCTGCGTAATACGCTGTATTTAATATATCATGATGACTCGCGAGTTTAAATTTTTGCTAAATCTGCGTAATACGCTGTATTTATTATATCATGATGACTCGCGAGTTTAAATTTGTGCTAAATCTGCGTAATACGCTGTATTTAATATATCATGATGACTCGCGAGCTTAAATTTGAGGTAAATCTGCGTAATACGCTGTATTTAATATATCATGATGACTCGCAAGTTTAAATTTGCGCTAAATCTGCGTAATACGCTGTATTTAATATATCATGATGACTCGCGAGTTTAAATTTGCGCTAAATCTGCGCAAAACGCTGTATTTAATATATCATGATGACTCGCGAGTTAAAATTTGTGCTAAATCTGCGTAATACGCTGTATTTAATACATCATGATGACTCGCGAGTTTAAATTTGCGCTAAATCTGCGTAATACGCTGTATTTAATATATCATGATGACTCGCGAGTTTAAATTTGTGCTAAATCTGCGTAATACGCTGTATTTATTATATCATGATGACTCGCGAATTTAAATTTGTGCTAAATCTGCGTAATACGCTGTATTTAATATATCATGATGACTCGCGAGTTTAAATTTGTGCTAAATCTGCGTAATACGCTGTATTTAATATATCATGATGACTCGCGAGTTTAAATTTGCGCTAAATCTGCGCAAAACGCTGTATTTAATATATCATGATGACTCGCAAGATTAAATGTATGCTAAATCTGCGTAATACGCTGTATTTAATATATCATGATGACTCGCGAGATTAAATTTGTGCTAAATCTGCAAAATACGCTGTATTTAATATATCATGATGACTTGGGAGTTTAAATTTGTGCTAAATCTTCCCAATACGCTGTATTCAATATATCATGACTCGCGAGTTGAGTATTTGCGCTAAATCTGCGCAATACAATGTGTTTAATATATCTTGATGACTCGCGAGTTTAAATTTGTGCTAAATCTGCGCAATACGCTGTATTCAATATATCATGACTCGCGAGTTGAGTATTTGCGCTAAATCTGCGCAATACGCTGTATTTAATATATCTTGATGACTCGCGAGTTTAAATTTGTGCTAAATCTGCGCAATACGCTGTATTTAATATATCATGATGACTCGCGAGTTTAAATTTGCGCTAAATCTGCGTAATACGCTCTATTTAATATATCTTGATGATTCGCGAGTTTAAATTTGTGCTAAATCTGCGCAATACGCTGTATTTAATATATCATGATGACTCGCGAGTTTAAATTTGTGCTAAATCTGCGTAATACGCTGTATTTAATATATCATGATGACTCGCGTTTAAATTTGCGCTAAATCTGCACAAAACGCTGTATTTAATATATCATGATGACTCGCGAGATTAAATGTATGCTAAATCTGCGTAATACGCTGTATTTAATATATCATGATGACTCGCGAGATTAAATTTGTGCTAAATCTTCGTAATACGCTGTATTTAATATATCATGATGACTTGCGAGTTTACATTTGTGCTAAATCTTCCCAAAACGCTGTATTCAATATATCATGACTCGCGAGTTGAGTATTTGCGCTAAATCTGCGCAATACAATGTATTTAATATATATTGATGACTCGCGAGTTTAAATTTGTGCTAAATTTGCGCAATACGCTGTATTCAATATATCATGACTCACGAGTTGAGTATTTGCGCTAAATCTGCGCAATACGCTGTATTTAATATATATCTTGATGACTCGCGAGTTTAAATTTGTGCTAAATCTGCGCAATACGCTGTATTTAATATATCATGATGACTCGCGAGTTTAAATTTGCACTAAATCTGCGTAATACGCTGTATTTAATATATCTTGATGACTCGCGAGTTTAAATTTGTGCTAAATCTGCGCAATACGCTGTATTTAATATATCATGATGACTTGCGAGTTTAAATTTGCGCAAAATCTGCGTAATACGCTGTATTTAATATATCATGATGACTCACGAGTTTAAATTTGCGCTAAATCTGCGCAAAACGCTGTATTTAATATATCATGATGACTCGCGAGTTTAAATTTGCGCAAAATCTACGTAATACGTTGTATTTATTAAAATCATGATGACTCGCGAGATTAAATTTGTGCTAAATCTGCGCAAAACGCTGTATTTAATATATCATGATGACTCACGAGTTTAAATTTGCGCTAAATCTGCGCAAAACGCTGTATTTAATATATCATGATGACTCACGAGTTTAAATTTGTGCTAAATCAGCGCAAAACGCTGTATTTAATATATCATGATGACTCACGAGTTTAAATTTGCGCTAAATTTGCGCAAAACGCTGTATTTAATATATCATGATGACTCGCGAGTTTAAATTTGCGCTAAATTTGCGCAAAACGCTGTATTTAATATATCATGATGACTCACGAGTTTAAATTTGCGCTAAATTTGCGCAAAACGCTGTATTTAATATATCATGATGACTCACGAGTTTAAATTTGCGCTAAATCTGCGTAATACGCTGTATTTAATATATCATGATGACCACAGTTGATTTACCCGCCTTTGGCGTGTTCATTTCAAACCCTGAGCGTATCGCTGGGAAACTGACGGCGTTTGCTCTTGTTTTTCAGCCATTAGACATGAACTCAGTAGAATCAGCACGACATAATGTCCATGTTTCCCGAGAGCCAAACCCACTGTAGCCGAGGAAGAGGAAGAGAAAGAAGAAGAAGAAGAGGAGAACGTTACGCCGTATTAAAGCCCACAGACGCTAATGCTAACGCGGCGCTAACGCGGCGAAGGACACTGCACTGACTTACTGTTCTCTGGAAGAAACTGAAGAAACTACACAAGTGTTTTTATGAGGTGTTGTTCTGTTCATTTTCTCTGCATTATTATTATTTTTTTATTATTAT